TGTAACTATAATGTCAGAGCCACTCACGTAACCCAAGTCTCCACTGCAAATCAAATGGTCCTGGGCAAACAGTGGTTTCGACTTCTGACAATGATTTGGGCAAGGGAATGGAAAGAGGTGGAGTTGCCTAAGAATCCAGAGAGGAGAGGGTCAGTCCCAGAGCAAGACAGGGTGAAAAGCGCCCCTGAAGCAGTAACAGCTTGCCTGAGTGTGGGGACAAAAGTATCTGACTACATGTGATGTGACAGGCTTTCTACAAGAAGCCAACCTCAAACTTCCAGGTTTCTGGTCTGCTCCCCCAGAGCATATTCCTTAAAAATTGTTTATTCTTGGACACTAGTGTGACTGCAAAATCCTGGAACACACAGCACTAGTAAGCCCAGCCCAGGCTTCAAGGAATTTCCTTTCCAACAGCACTGACAAGTATAAGAGCTGCTAAGAATGGATGCTTCTAACTGTGTAACTAAACGCAATGGTGAGAAAAAGCAGAATGAAAAATAAAGGGCTAACACTGGCCAATCAGAGCCCAGCATAATTTTTAAACCAATATATAGTTATCCTTGACCTTCTATATCTGTGATGCCATTCATAAATTCTACAAACAAAGGATTGAGAAAAAAATTAAGTGTTTGGAACATGTATAGACTTTTCTTGTCATTATTCTCAGGTTGTTTAGTCTTTTTTTTTTCCCCAGCTTAAACTCGGGACCTTGTTTTTGCCAGGCAGGTGCTTTTGCCACTGAGCTATCTCCCTAGCCCTTCTTGTCATTATTCTCTATAAACCACAACATAACAACTTTTGGGATAGCATTTACATTATTATTAGGAATCATATATAAGACAGGAATGATTTAAGGTACATGGGAATATATGCATGAGTTAAATGAAAATACTATATGCCATTTTATGGAATTGATTAGAATAGCCATAGATTTTGGTACCCATGGGGATCTGGCACTAATCCCCAGGGTACCAAGCGGTGACTGCAATCATTACCCAGTGGAAGTCCATGACCTAGAGCAGAGGTCTGCAAACTCCATCTATATCCATCTGTATATAGTTCATTATATAGCACAGCCACTCGCAGTCACTGATATGTTATCTAGAGCCACTTTCACACTGCGATGATGGAGTCAATACACAGAAGCTCCTCAACTTACAATGTGTTACTTCCCAGTAAGCCCATCATAAACAAGCTATCACAAGTCAAAAATGTGTTTGCTGGGTGTGGTGGTGCATGCCTTCAATCCCAGCATTCAGGAGGCAGGGACAGGACAACTGCTGTAAATTCAAGGTCAGCCTGGGCTACCTAGTGAGTTCAAGGGCAGGCTGTACTACAAAGTGAGACCCTGTTTCAAAACAAAAAACGTGCTTAACACAGCGAACCTCTCAAAAACCACACTGTAGCAACAGTGTCTGCTGCTTCTCCTTGAGGTCACAGAGCTGCTCCAGAGCTGCAGCTCACTTCTGCTAGCCAGCATCAAAAGAATATCCACTGGCACTGTAGAGCAGAGTACCTAGCCAAGGGACCTTGTGCTCCAGGCCCAGTAACGAAGGGAGACAGGGACAAACAGAAAATCCATCATACCACACATCACTAATTCAGAAAAAGAACAAAGATCAGCTCTCAAAATGTGAAGCACAGTTTCTATGGATAAATATTGCTTTTGTATCACTGTAATGCCAAACTTTTAAAGTCAAAAGCCATCATTAAACAAGACCTGTAACTGCAGCCACAACTGTCTAGCTCAGGAAGTCTGAAATATTTACAACCTAGCCCCTTGTAGAAAGTATTTTCCAACTCCTGATCAGGACTCTTCATGATGAAACTTTTTATCTCCTTGATGAAGCAAGAAAAGTAACGATTTGGTCCATCCACTTAATTTAGTATCTACAGAGACAGTCAAAGTTCTCAGCTAACGCATCTGCTTACAGGAAAACTAAAAATTTGATAAAATGATCTGAATTTAGCTACTACAAGAACACTGGGTAACTGTGTGCAATGGCTTCTTCAGATAGTGTCCTTTGCCCAACTAATGACCAAGGTAAGGACAACAGGATCACGGGAAAGCTTCACACAGATGCTGGGTGTAACCAATGAGACAATAGTAACATCAGCATCACAGGTGCAGCACCACGACTACAAAGAAACACCACAAGCTCCCTGCAATGTCTTCACACCTGCAGGTCAGATGGCCTCCAAGTACAGTCCACAGACGCCTGGGAACCCGAGGCCACACACAGGGCCCACCAGGTCAACAGTGTGCTGCATAATGACACTAAAACCAACAGCTCTTTCCCATGTGTTGGTCACTTCCAGGAAATCACCTGATCAGTTAGTAAAATTATACCCAATCAAGCAACAATCTGAATTTTGGTAAACTTTTTTCCAACACTATGACTTTGGCAGCCAGTTGTACTTGAGACTTTTGAAAAGGATTTATAGTGATACTTGGGCCGGCAAGATAGCTCAGCAATCTAAAAGCACCTGCTTAAGCAAGCTTAGGCAAGCGCAGGGACCGTGGTTTGATCCTAGGCACCACATGCTGTGCCAGCCCCAGGGAGGGCTGAGCTGGCCACAAAAAAGCAAAAAACAGTGATACTAATTAAATGCCTTTTTTTTTTTTTTTTTTTTTTTTTTTTTTTTGCTATTTCATACTAGCAAATATTTGGAAGTTATATACAATTCTATGAACCAATGTTTTATTAATGATCAATGTATAACGCTAGAAAACCAGGTTCAGCTAAGACCCATATAAAGAGATACTACATGGATTTTAACATTGCATGATAAAAATAAAAAAAAAATTCATTAATTGGTTCCAGATTTTACACTGCTCCTCCTCATCTTTAGGAAACCACCACTTACTGAGTTTTGATGAATGATCGAAGAATACCCACAAATATATGAACAGGCAGGCTGGCAAGAACATTCTTTCCTAGCTGATGCCTGTAGAAGGCAGGGTCTTCTGTAAATACTTCAGTCTAAAGAGCCCATCACCTGAGACTGGAGGCGAGGCAGACGGGAGAGTACAGCTGTACTCCAGTAAGTCAAATGTGAGAGACCAGCAGAAAGGAAAACCAAGGCCATATTCCCTGCTAGTTACATCTGTTTCCGAAAATATAATTATTCCTCATAAAACTGGTGCTTATGTTAGCATGTAGTGGTTTAGTAATACTATCTTTTAAAAAATAATAAATATTTACAATTTGAGTTTCTTTCCTTTCTTTTTTAATGTATTTGGTTGTTATAGGGTCTCATTACACAGCTGGGACTTGTATAAGTGATCCTCCTGCTTTTAGCCTCCCAAGCACTGAGATTACAGGCACGCGCCACGACACTGGGACTCAGTGGCAGGTTCAGCCTGCCCTGGGGGCGGGGCTGGCACGGTCGGGGATTGAACTGTGGTCCCTATGCTTGCCCAAGCAGGTGCATTAGTTCACTGATCTATCTCGCCAGCCCCCTCCAATCTGAGTTTCAATCTGGCCTGACAATTCCCAACAAATTCGACCCATGTAGCAAAAGACCAATCACGTACAAGAATGTAATAGGAACAAGAAACTCAGAACACTGAAACTTGATACTGTGGCCCTAAATACTTTTACTCTGTATGGGAAGTTTCTTTTTTTTACATTGGAAAATACAATTTTTAAAAATTATAAAGTATATTTTCCCTCCCTCTCAGTTCACTTTCTCATGAAAGTGAAGGTGTCTCTTGTCTCACTCTGCAAGAGACACCTTGCCTACATTTGAGAATAAGAAGTTTCCTCACATATTGAAAGAATAATACCGTGTGCAGGAAAAAATTGCCTGCCCTGCAAAAATGACACAAACCCAACTCGGAGAATCAGAGGTTAGGCCCCAGGAGCCACAGGTCCTGACACAGCCGGGCCAACCACACTGGCATCAGGAGACCCTGGCCACAGAAGGAGAAGCTTCTGGCCTGAAGCCCCCTACCCTAGTTGGCTGGTTTGCGTTCCCCAGGAAGCCCACTGTAATTTATGTGTCTCCTGGCGGGTAGGCAGAAGCACCACTTGAGATGGTATGTGGGGGATCAATGCTGATGCTAAGCAGCAGCACCCCAACAGTTCTCTGACATCCAGGTGTCCAAACGGCATAAAAGGTACAGCTAGAAGCTCAGATGCCTCGCAACTCCAGAGACAAAAGATTTATTGGGCTGGGGTCCACCACAGCAGCCACTATGTTCCTGAGGGAAAGAGTCTGAGGAAGCTGAGAGCAGACCCTCCCTGGGTCTGCATCACGGGCCTACAGACATTCTAGTGAAGACCATAAAACCTGAAAAAAGTCTCTCAGATAGCATGTAACTTATTTCATGATGTTATTACTAATACCACAATGCTACTCACAAGACAATTCATATTTAAGTTTCTTGGTTTTGACACAGTGAACTATTATGACTGATCTGTAAAGTCTTCATTTTTATTTTGGACAATTTGTATTGTTATATTCATTTATGTTTATAAATAATTTATTTTCCATTTGCAATCTACTGAAAAATAAAAATAAATAAATAAAAGACAATTCATAAAGAAACTGTGAATTAAAATACTAACTCAGTAAAAAAGAGCTACATTTTATATACAGAGTAGATTAAATAGACTATTCAGGATAGTATAAGAACCTAAGAATTATACTATTACTACAGAAAAATTCAGGATATTTTCTAAATATGAACACATACACCTCCAAAAAGCCACTGGTACTGAGTAGCATTTTTTTAAATTAATTTTATTGGGAAACAAATAGCAATGAGACAGTTTCGAAACAGGTTAGTAGGACAGTTACAATAATTAATAGATTGCATATTGTTGCCTTGTGAGTAGCATTTTTGCAACTGCTATTTGAGCAGCAAAATCCAGAGTTTTTTATATTCTCCTGATTCCTGTTACAAAAGGATTTTTTGGAGGACAAGGACATCAGAGCCACAGCTCTGAGACTGAATTTAGGAGCAGAAGATAGGAAAGCCAGAAAGGGCTTACCTGTGGTCGAGGTGACTGAAGTCTTGTAAATTCAACTCCCTGGTGTCTTGTGTCAGATAAATCGTATCCACATCCTATTTGAAATACAATTCAGTCATAAAGTTAATTTATGCTGATGGTCCAGGAAGCAAGACAAATCTGGAGAACGAGACAGTGGCATACAGAGATTTATGTAATCTGAGGAAAAATACCATAAGCAAAATCTGAATGTGGGAGAGGGATGGAAGGAGGGCGGGGTGGAAAGACAAGCAGGGAAGGGGGTAGACAGAGAGGGACAAGCAGATGGAGACACAGCGATAGACACGAGACTATCCTCTGGTGTGTCTATGGGTACACACACATGGACATAGACATCCTTACCCACTGGACTTCCTCCCGGTATGAAAATCCAAGCCAGTCACAGACACACGCATACATCTGAGAAAATCCACCTAAGGCATAAGACAAAAATGCTGCAGTCTTGACAAAGTCTTCAGCAAAATGATTTTTAAATAAAAACGTAAAAGCTTAAATATGGCCGCTGTGGACAATGCTGATGATTCCTTCTGTTTGGGGCAAGGAGTGAGGACTCTCCCCCCCTTCCTTAGTGAACAAGCAGCAAGATGTAATTCAGCTTAAATACAGGACTTGGGCCTACCAATCTCAAGTCTGTGCCACGCTAATTATACCTTGAAACTAATTGCACCTTTACGGTAGCATACGGGGAAGAGAACTAACTTCCAGGCAGGGGGCATCGTGGCAAGGCCCTTTACACTCTAGGGCTGAGAAGGGATGCTCACCACAGGGCCCCTGCTCGGCCACGGTCTGGCTGTCCCACAGAGCCTGCAGACTGGCTAGGCGCTCAGACGGCTCCATGGAGACCTTTTTCATGATTCTCCTGCAAGAAGAGCAGCAAGAGTTCACAAATCAGGTTTCTGGAATAGTACTAGAAGTTTATTTTGCAGCACCGCATAACCCTTTTCACAGAAAGATGAGTCTTATTCTGGTTCCAGAAGATGTACTTCCATTATTTGAGCACTAGCAAGACAAAACCCTGTAGGAACTAAATCTTTTCTTCAATATGCCTTTGTAAACTAATATTTAGAAATGCAAGGATTCTCCATGTTGTTTACTTGTTTTATAAGATATTTTGTTAGAATAGTCAGAAAGTAATGTTCCACTTAATGAATTATTTTGTTATACCAAAAATATATTACTAATTTTCAAAGCAATGAATACAAATCTCCTAAGTTATCCCCAAGAAAGCTCCAGCCCACACACGAAAAGGCAGCACAGAGAGATGGATAAAAAGGCAGCACAACATCCCAGAGTGTTGTTACTCACAGAACTGAGAAAATAAGGGCTCAGCCCATTGGGTGAGCAAAAGGGAAGGAGGAAGAGATGGAGCAAGGGGAAGAGAAGAGAAGGAAAAGGAGGAAGTCCTCCAAAGTCATTAGAACAGTCTCAGTAAATGTTAGCTGACGCTGTCACAGTTACCACACACCAGTCATTCAATGAACCATCTGGGAAATCATTCACTCCCTCAAAACGTAAAAGGTCCACAGAGTGCCAAGGTACGGGGCGCACCGGCATGGACCAAGGAGATAGTACTGTTGGCAAAGCTAGAAACCTATGAAGAGAAACAGTCAAATAAATGAGCAATGATGGAAGAGGATTTTGAATGGGAAACTCAAGTGTGAGGGCTGGTGAAGAACAGCACTTAGCATGACTGGCAGGAAGGGCCCAGAGCGAGTGCGCAAACTGCTTTGGTACACTACACCGGTGCAGGAACCTTTGCTCACATTTGGGACAGGATGTGTTCAAGTAGTACTCAAAACATTTCCCAATTTCAAAACATTTCCGATTGAGTATGCTCAACCTGGCTATCTCTGTGAAGGTCTAAGAAGGGATAGGAGGAGATGAACAGGTAAAGCACAAGGAGAGCAGCCCTGGGATGGGCCAGAAAGTGTTTCATGTGGACAGACAGCAAGTCCATGGAGAGGGGAATGCTGGTATAGAGTAGATCTCAGAACAGTGGCCGAAGTGTGTTCTGGGTAGAGGGGCAACAGAAGGCCAGGAAGCAGGGCCAGGACCAGCCCACGGCAGTGAGGAACTGCAAAGGAGGTGGACACTGGAAACAAACACCTGTGTGTACAGGACCAAAACTAGGAAATAGGAGTAATCTGAGAACAGGACCAGCTTCATGCAGAGTCCTGCTGCACTGAGCTGGGGACTTCTTGAGCACTCAGCACTCACAGGTGTGGGCAGCTGGTGGCTGCAGGCTCTCAAGGTGGGTGAGCTAGAACTACAGGCTGGAGGAGAAGGGAAGATAGCCTAGGCATCTGTAGCCTGGGGCCATGAGGAGTCCAGGGGCTTCCCAGGAGGGGATGGTGAAACGACAAAGGCAGTGGTCAGAGAGGCAGGACCAAGCCACCAAAGCCACACAAGGAGTGCTGTTGTAAGAGATGGCAAGGTCTGGGGTGTGGCTGCACAAGGTGGGGATACAGAAGGTAAAAGGTGTGTGTGCGGTGGGGGGAGCTGCTGGGTCAGTCACCCAGAGTGGTGCATGGGTGAGATAAGCCCACTGCACGGGAAGGATCCCCTAGCTGAAATGCTGGAAAACAACCATATTTTTTATTTCAAGTTTTCAAATTTGGGAATATTTGTACACAGTGATATGCCTCAGGAATAGAATCCAAGTTTAAACACAAAATACATTTATGGTTTGCGTGTACCTTGCAAATACAGGCTGAAGGTAATTCTATGATGCATTTAATACTACCATGAATGAAACGAAGTCTCATGTGTAGAATTTTCCACACGTAGCATTATATTGGCACCAGGAAAGTTTCTGATGTGGGAGCTTTTCAGATTTTGGATTTTCAAATTAGGAACGCTCAACCTGTAAGTCATACTGGATCTACACTACTTTTTTTTTTTTTTTACTGATTCTGAAGCACAGCTCTCCGTAATGATGCTTGCGGGGATCTTTAACGAATTTTAATCACCTTACAGAGACTGGAAGGAAATGACGCTGGTGGTTCCCAATTTCTGAGTGGACAGACTCCAGATGAAACCTGCCAGAGCCTGAGAGGTACTCGGGAGAATCATCCTACCTAGAAAATCTCAAACACAAGCCAAAACATTTGAATACAAGCTTTCTTCTGGCATTGAAATTACCTCTGCTCCGCTTTTACGACAAAGGCACAAGCCAGTAAGCTCACCTGGCGTCCAATGTGTCCCAGCAAGTGCTGCGCACTCACAAGAGCTCCATGCACAGCAGCATGCCTCTCTATTTTCCCCCTAAAAATGCTTGCAGCGGAGAATTATTATTCTAAAACTCTCCAATTTGGGAGTGAGTAAATGAAGGAAGACATTCACACTAAAGTGATGATACAGAACCTGGTGATTTGGGGTGCTTTGTTTTGGTTCCGGGTGACCATTCTGGGGTTCAGTGGAATTATTTTCTAGCTACATCAAAATAATGAAGCCAAGGGCTAGCCAAATAGCTCAGTGGATTAAAGTGCCTGCTTAGGCAGACATAGGGGCCAGGAGTTTGATTCCTGGGCCTGCCATGCAGCCCCGGCCTCACCCCCAGGACATGCTGAGACACCGTGCTGGGCGTGGTGGCACACGCCCGTAATCCCAGCACTTGGGAGGCTATAAACAGGAGGATCACTGTGAGTCTGATTTAGGCAGTGAAACCCTGTAGACCCTGTCCTAAAAAATGCAACACGAAAGACAGACAGACAGACAGACAGACAGACAGACAGACAGACAAGGCAGCCAGATATGCAAAGGAATAGCAGAGCATCAGAAGCTAGTACAGGCATCCACACAGCTGCACTGACTAAGCTCCCAACATTCCAAGCAGGACTCGAGTCTGACTTTATCTGGAGTCACATTTCTTTGTCAAATTATTGCTTTTTACTGCAGCAAAACTTCAGGGGCTGCTATTTAAATGACAAACAGGATGGGGATTAGTGGGCAAAAACCTTAGATGGGCAGAGTTAAGAGGAAGCTAGCTGTGCTGGGTTGGAAATGACCTGCGAGTGTCCCCGAGTTTCCTGGGCTGCCAGCCTAGTCTTCCGCCGAGTTGCTATCAAGTCATAAGAGGTGGCCTGGAGCTGGGCACGGGGGTGGGGGTGGGGGTGCACACCTATAATCCCAGGGCGTGGTAGGCTGATACAAAAGGACCAAAAGTTCAACACTTAATAAGCTCTAAGCCAGCTTGGGCTAGGAAATGAGACCCGACCTCAAAAAAGAGGTGGAAGGGTCCTGACAGCGGGTGATCACGTGTGGAACATCCCTTGGGTGGGAAGGAATTAACGCTTACTTCACAGAGTGAATGAAGTTGTTATAAATCAAAGCCATTCCGCATCTTTGGCCTTCACCCTAGCACGGGCAGTTCCCTTTCTGCTTCTCAATCATGTTGTGGTGAGGCAAGGTGGTACCTCAACAGAGGCCACAAAGATGAAAGCACCCAATATGAACTTTCAGCCTCCAGCAACATGATAAAAAGCTCTTCACTTTGTAAAGTATCCAATACAAGATAATTTGTTACAGCAACAGAAAACAGATATGAAAATGGCAGTTAAGCATGCTGGGAAAAATAATAAATATACAGTTTTGCAAAACAGACTCAATTTTATTTTGAAAGCAACAATGGACATTCACACTCAGAGTGCATGGAAATCTGCTGGAGGACAGGGACCGAGGCAGCTTGTGTTGGCATCCAGGGAATCACTGCAGAGGTGTCGGTCTGGGTTGCTGCCCACAGCTCCACTTAGGAACAGTTCTCATTTATCTTTTTTTTAAGTGAGGTATCAGGAGCAAAGGGCATCTCATGAAGCAAGTGCACTTATTTCCATAAAAGAGAACTCACAGAAGGTGGGAGCCGTTTCTTCTGTACTGTAACACTTCTCACAGAAACAAGGAGGAAGAAGAAAACCCACCACCTGATACTTTATTTTCTGCCACCAGCTAAATGACATCAAAGATCAGCAGAATCGTGACTCACACACATACATAGGTGGAAAACGGCAGGCAGGCAGACTGACTGACTGACAGATAAACACACAGTCAGACAGAGTAGTTGTTGTGAAAACATGTTCTGTAGACAGAAAGACCAACCCCTAAAAAACAAACAAGAACTTGTCACTCATTTATAGGGCAGGGTTAGAGCTGAGTCAATGACCTGTGCACTGTATGCATTTAATTCACACAAGGATATTGGTAAAAAGCAGTCACGTGGCAAAACTTAGTGAACTAGATCACAAGTACAGCAGCTTTTTATGCAAAGCTCATGATAAACTGTTGACATGAAAATCTGTCTAAATTATTTGAATCCACACAAAGTAGCAGCAGCCTAAGCAAGATGGCAACCATTCCTGCCACGGGACGTGTCTTAGCAGTGCCAATCCCACTGCCACCAAGGCTGGCCTCCGCCATGGGAAGAGAGGAAACAAAGCACTTTTTGTTCATTTATGCACAAACTCCTGTTGGCCATTTTTTTGGGGGAGGGTGGGGAATAACCTTATTCTCATACACTGGTCAATGTTTGGCTTCATAAAGGACCCAAAATACCATTTCTATTACTGTAGGAAAGAAACATTATTGGAACATATGCTAATTCTAGCAAATTTTCAAAGGTACAGCAACAACAACCACACACACACACACACACATACACATACACATACTATCGAAGATGCCAAAAACAGGGAAGTTATGACATTAGATGGTTACTATTCTACCAACAAGATATTAAGCACAGTGAACCAAAACTAAAATACAACAAAATCATAGAAATGCAATCAACTCATATGTAACTTATTTAAAAAAAAAAAAAACACACCCTCAGAGAAATTTCTTACACACGCTGCCGGTCCCTGTGCCCCCAGGGCAGGCATTCATTCCAGCACCCGGATGCATTCACAAGCTCACAGAGCTAAAATTTCCAGAGCCCTGCACAGGCACTGCCACGGGGCAAAGTCATCCTCATGACACTGCCTCCACCGGGCCGTCCCAGGCCACAGATGCAGGCACTGAGCCTGCGCTCACACTCCCAAGCTCAGGAGCCAGCTAGGCTGGCCCCTCCTCCAGTCCCACCCCAGCCTATGTTGGGCCAGGTTCTCGGTGTACCTGCGCACCAACTGTCACTTTACTCCTACATGCCTGTGGGCCGTCCTGAGGCTTGCGTCCAAGCTCTCCGGAGCAGTGCTCATCTCTCTCCTGGCAGTGCCCACAAGGCACACAGGCTGCTGTCCTAGGGCCCCGGAACCTCCCAGGCCCACCTCTTGCAGCGAGAAGTCTCCTCTCAAAAAAAAGAAAGAAAGAAAAAAGAAAAGAAAAGATAAATGAAGGAAGTTCTGTCTTTGACCTCCCAGATAAATGTGACTTTTTTCTTGAAATCAGAGAGCTTCACATTCTCTGCTATGTGATTTGTGGTGGTTTTTACATTAAACTGTAAAATCTTAGAGGGTAAAAAAGATTTTAATTCTCTGTGTATGCCTGAGGAGTTTCCTGAATTAAGATCTTCTACATCGGTTCCAATTTGTTCTAATGACTTCATTTAATGTGTAAAAACAAAAGTCCAGTCTTAGCTTTGAAAAACAGCCAGGGATTTTGATATTAGAAAAGCTGAAGGCTGCAACCAAAAGATAGCTTTCGGAAAGGAACTATCAGTGTAGTGAATCTGTGAAAACAGATTAAACAACACTTAGACCAGTAATATCTCCCATGTATCCCTTCAGTCTTTAAGTAAGGACTCTAATTAAAGTTAATAATTATGGGGTTGGGGAGATGGCTCAGTGGAATAAGCACTTCCCTGGCAAGCGCAAGGGCCTGAGTTCAATCCCTGGTTCCGCAAAAAATAAATAAATAAATAAAAAATAAAAATCATCTGACAGGGACCAGGGAGATGGCTCAGTAGAATAAGTGCTTGCCTGGTAAGTGCAGAGGCCTGAGTTCAATCCCTGGTTCCACCAAAAAAAAAAACAAAAACAAAAACAAAAAACAAAAACGGGGCTGGGGAAATGGCTCAGTGGAATAAATGCTTCTCTGGCGAGCACAAGGGCCTGAGTTCAATCCCCAGTTCCGCCAAAAAAAAATAAATAAATAAAAATTAAAAAAATACAGTTAATAATTATAAGGATAAAAATATTAACCTAAAAGACATGTTCATGATGGCTTGATAGGGGATGAACTTAAAAACATAATTTTTTTAAAAATTCTGTCTTTGTTCTGAAATTAGCTTTTCATATTTGATAAAGAGAAAATTCCATTTTTGTAGGTAGAAAGAGGGAATGATAAATAATACAAATCTGAGAAAGGAGAGTTAGGAAGAAAATATCCTGTGAACAATAATTTCAATGAAAATTCCTTTGCTCTTATCAGCACTCTCTGGATTATAAGAGGACTGATTATATGTTGTAGATATTTACATATTTGTACATATTTGGATGTGATCCTGGACGTTATTTTCAGAATTACATTTGGGTAAATCCAGGGCATTTGACATACAGTCATGAAACCAAACTTACATTATGGAAGAACTAATGATCCAAGTTGGGGGCTGCTGACCTGATTCTCCCACGTCCTGGCACCTACTTGTGAGATGCCGGCCTATTTCTCCATCCCCTACAAACATGCCGTGAGCCAGGACAGGGTGAAGACTGGAGCCTGAAAGACTCATCATGGGCTTGGGAATATATTCATGAGATAAATGCCTCTGAGGCTTGAGAATTCCAAACACAGATTCATGTTCTTCAATTCATTATAAGTGGGATAGACGACATTACTGAGGACCTATTTTATTGCACATGTTCTACATTACTTATATATAAAAAAATACTTCCCTTACTATCAGTGTTGATTTAAGCCATGGTAGGAATGTGGAAGAAAGGATTTCCACCCTCTTCAGTCCTAATAACTAATACCAGTGTCACTCTTATGTATACATTCCCCCTATAAAAACTGTATAATATAACCTAAAGAACTTCATGGGTAAGGACATTCCATAGCAGCCATAAGCTATTACAAGTTTATTGTGACAAGCTAACTATGAAGCCTTTCAAACCAGAGTGGTGGGAACAAAATAATAAAAGAAACTGCTGATTTCCCCCCAAAATTCCTACGATATTAAGTAAAGCTACATTGTAAAGAAAACAGATTCTAAATATTGCACTGAAGCTTTTTTTTTTTTTTTTTTTTTTTTTTTGGTGCAGGGTCCCACTAAGCAGCTCAGACCTTGCAGTGATCCTCCTGTTCTCTGCCTCCCCAGTGCTGGGATTACAGGCGTGCACCACCACACTCAGACTCCATTGCCGGCTCAGCACGCCTGGGGACAGGGCTGGCGCAGCATGCAGTGCCAGGGATCAAGCCCTGGCCCCTGACCTAAGCAAGCACAAGGTCCACTGAGCTATCTCACTGGCCTTGTCTGAAGCATGTTTAATGCTCAAGGTATCTCAAGCAGTCTGCAGTAAGCCTGTTTAATAATTTTCCACCAGTGTTAACCTGAAAGAGAGGCTGTCCCATGGCTGTATCAGTGCAGGGAAACGTGGCAGCTGTTGTGAGTTCGTGATCACCCCCGAAGGTTTGCCCGTGGAGCCAAGGATGCGGAAATCATTCTCAAGGAAGTTTACCTCTGAGTGCTTCCCCAGTGCCACTACTGACTCAGCCCTTCCAGCACCTGCCACGCCTGTGGCCTGAGAGAAAAGACCTGATGGCTTCGGCTAGGCAGAGTCAGAGAGTAAGTCACTGCCAGCTTGCCCTTCCCCACTCTGACAGGAACCACTCAGTCCCTCAGAGATGTGCTATTATCACAAAGGGACTGAGCTTCAGGAGAGAGGCGCCGAGAGAAGGAGCAGGGCCAGCACCACGCTGGTCAGAAAAAAAGATAGCCCAGTGAGGAACAGCAAGACTGAGGCAAATGCATCCCAAAGGTTAGAGATATGCAGCTGCCTTCCATAACTCCAAAGGTCTGAATGTCAGGAAGCCTGTTTTTCCACTCTGCTTCTTAATTTGCCATTGTAGACCCATGTTCCAAAAAGGATCAAGATGAAGAACCCCCCCTTCCCTACTCCAACAGGTACCCAGCTGGCCCTCCTGCCCTCACCCTTAGGTCACCCTTGCCAGTGCATCCCTCGACACTCCCCAGGTGCATGCTGGGAGGGGCCTTCCCAGTTGCCGAGCCAGCCACAGGACAGTGTTCTGACTGCTGCTCAGGAACTCTCACCATTAGTTCCTCTCTCTCTGCCTTTCCTCTTCAGCCAATCTAAGCCCTTAACCCTGCCATTCCAATCCCAACTCCAGTGTGATTCAGCATAAAGTCCTTCTTTAAAATGCTGAGCAAACAAAGGGCCAGCACGATAGCTCAGCAGCCTAAGTGCCTGCTTAGGCAAGCACAAGAACTGGGGTTCGATTCACAGCATCACATGCTGCACCAGCCCTGCCACCAAGGCCAGGCATGGGGGCATGTACCTGTAATCCCAGCCCTGGGAGGCTGAAAACAGGAGGATCACTATGAGTCTGAGCTGTGTAATAAGACCTTACACCAAATACATTTAAAAAAATAAAATGCTTAACAGTAGGCCAGGAAGATGCTCAGGAGTCTAAGTACCTGCCTGGCAAGCTCAAGGACCTGGGTTTGATCCCCAGTACCATAAGCCATACTCAAAACAAAACAAATAAAACTAAAATGCTTTTAAAAAAAAAATAGGAGGACACATGAATAAAAGTTAATAATATTCCTAATGTGCCTATCAGAATACTAAAGGAATATCTATGATAGTAAAGCAACAGAAAATAATTTTTTGCTCATTTTTTAAAAAGTTTAACTTCTCCTACTGAGAAATCAACAAGGGAAAGGAAGAGATGGTTAATATTATACTTGCTGCTTTACTACAAAGCTTTCAGCTGCTGGAATTCTGCTAATAGCCATGAGTAAAATTCACACTACAGTAATTATATTTAAAAGGTTCCTGTTTTAGTCTCACAAGTACAAGTTAAGGGCTTTGAAGTCCCACCACTCACATCTTTAAGCAAGGCCCAGCCCTAAAGAAAACCCCAGGTTTTGTATACACAAGGTCTGCACTAGGAGTTGATGTTTACTGGTTAAGAAAAGCAGCTCGCTGAGCGAGAAGCCAGTAGGCAGGGCGGAGGGGCTACCCCGCAGCTGCCATTCTGAGGAAGAACAAGATGGGCCCTCTGCGCTTCGCGCTGGGACTCACACAGGCGAGAGGCCGGGGAAGATCCTCCGCAGGCAGGTGCCAATGTGACCCAGGACGTCGCTCACGTCCTCCGGCGACGCCATCTTCATGGAAATGTTGCACTTCTCCGTCTCCACAACCATCTGCAAGGACAGGATGGGACGCTGCTGAGTGCTAAGTCCAATTCTCAATGTTTACATATTGTAATCTGTGTCACAAAGAAATGCACCAAGTCCTCATTTCAGGGTCTTCGAGTTCAAACCCGAGAAACTGTGAGGGCAGAGAGGGAGAAGATCAGAGCATCAGAGACCCGAAGCTCAGGTTTCTAAGGGCCCAACTGGCAGATCAAGAGGCTCTTGACTGCTCCTCACCACACTCAGGCTCTACTTCCCCTGGGCTCAGTCTGCAGCATCTCACATCCCTGCCCTCTAGTATATGACGAAGTCCTTATGCAAGTACTCAAATAGCCACTTAAGAAAAAGAAAGGTTTTAAAGAAATCTCATGAGAGGTTTAAATGAGATGTTAAAACCTTTTGGCAATGAGGAAAAAAAAAAATCAAGTACTCAAAAAAATTCAGCCTTTCTGAGAAGAGGAAATATTTGGAAAGGATTATATTAAAGCAGTAGGCTTTTTTTTAAATAGTCTTTTATTAAGTTTAATGCTACACTAGATGTATAAAACTTAACATACAAAGGGCTGGCCAAATAGCTCCACAGACTAAAGCGCCTGCAAGCAGGTGCAAGGGCTGAGGGTTCGATCCCGGGGCCTGCCAATCTGCCGGGCTGGCCCCACCACCAGCCCTGGGGCGCGCTGACATGGCAATTGAGACTGGGCATGGTGGCATGCGCCTGTGATCCCAGCTCTTGGGAGGCTGTAAACGGGCAGATCACTAGGAGTCCAATCTACGCAGTGAGATCCTCAACACCCCGTAGACCCTGCCGTAAGATACCAAAAAAAATAAAACTTAACATACAGAGAAAAGGTTTAGCCTAAGGTTGTAGGGCTGGTCCTATAAGTACAAATCAACCTGAGAAAGGAGGGTAGGTCACTAAAAGGACTCCAGATTGAAGACAGACTTCACGTAAAAGAGAATTAACTTCTCTATTTTTTTTAAGCTGTGCTATTATCTTGTCTGTACATGTAACCCTTCTGCATTTTTGTGGCATCATAATATCCTCCCCCATTTATTGCCTTTGTCATTTAATTGATACAAAAATAGGATGAAGCATACACATCACATGTGCAACTAATCAACTGAATTAACAAAGCAATTTTTACAGTTTGCTTTAGATCTGTCTGCAGCCAAATGGAAAACAATAATCTAAGCCTTTTGACATTTTTAATGTTAAAAAAAAAAAAACTAATGCAAGACATTTGTCAAAACACCCAAAGAAACAGGCATCAGTGATAGGAGATTTTAAAATGTTATTTTCTAATCCAAACCCTGAAGGAAGTATTCCTTAAGTAAGTAGTCCTTAAGTATCACCTCTACGGTCATTAACTTAGCTGTGTGGAAAGAAGACAATGCTTTTTTGGGGAGCTGGCTCAGCCCACCCTGGAGGTGGGGCCAGCGCAGCATGTGGTGCCAGTGATTGAACCATAGTCCCCTGAGCCTGCCTAAGCTTGCCTAAGCGGATGCTTTAGACCACTGAGCTATCTCACCGGCCCAAGACATGCTTTTAATCCTAATTTTCAAAGTGTTCTTCAAGTGAATGGAAAAGTCTTTAGAATCCTCTCAGATAAAGTCTGCATCATCTGCCTTCTAGTCTAGAAGGAGATCCAAGAAACATCTGTGCCTGCACCCCAGGAAAAGCAGCAAGCAAGTCGGTACATGGCAGTGCTGCAGCAGGAGGTGTTCACTGACCCACCGGCACTCCATGAAAGGCCCAGAGTCAGCCTCTGCGCTGTCCCCTGCACATATCTGTGCATCCGCACTGTCTGCCAAAACCAGACCATTTGCGAGGCAGCTTGGGTCTGTGCTTGACACCCACCCCCAACCTTCTCACCCCGGGTAATTATATTTTTCGCTGCAGGGTTCGTCTACATTCTGCCCCTCTAGTGCATCTATTCAGTTCACAGTTTGGGTGTGAGTGATTAGTAATTAGCTTATTCTAATTCCATTTAATCTTAACACCTAATCATCCTTAATTGCACAGGACTGAACAGAATGACAGGGAGAAAAAAGAGGTGACAGGTGGGCAAAGAAATGAGGGCTTCAAGTTCAACCTGACATGAATATGCTCACAAAGCCCTAAGATGTCACCACGCCCGCAGAATGCATAGGGTGCGACAAAGCCAAGGAGGCGGAACTGACACTGAGCCCTCTCAGCAGGATCAAGGATTCCTGTCCAGAGCTGTCCTTTCTCTTGTTTCAGCTGGAAGAAACAGAATACTGGAAACACTCCTGCCTCTTGGACGGAGCAGGACATAACCCATGACCTGCTGCACATTTAAAATGACAATTAAGAGTTATCAACCACAGTGACTTATTTATGATTCTAACTTATCATCCCATGTCATCTTTTTATGATAAAACAATGTGATCAATTTTACAAGCAATATTTTTTTTAACTAAATCTCAGCAAGCAGACCTGTGCGGTGGTCTCTCCTTAAACAGAATGGGCTGTGGTGGGCTGCCAAGGTCACTCTGCAGCAAGGCAAACCATGACCCTTAGGATTGAAGGCAAAAATCACACAAGCTACACCAGAAACAGCCCAGCAATTCTGTAACTGTAGACCAACTGCTGCGGGCCTCTGCTGACTAACAGCAACAGAAGATGGGACTCAGAAAATGCTGTGACAGTGACACCAATAACACAAGGCAGCATCTCCCAGGTTCCAGCAAAGAGAAGGAAAAGAGCAGTAATTCAAGTCACATTTCATTAACTCAGAAACACACCCCGCCCTCCACTCAGTGTAGTACGCGGTGCTGCACCCAGGCACTCTATCTCCACTTACAAACTACAATCATCATTAAAACAGAAGGGACACAAACGATAATTACCAGAAGATGGTGGGAAAGAATTTCTAATAAGATCAGACTGAGTGTTGGACATAGACCCTGTTATCGTAGCAGTCATAGGTAAGATAAAATCAAAGGAAGAGGTGGCAAAAGACCTGAGGGGGGCCGGGCAGATAGCTCAGTAGAATAAGTGCTTGCCTGGCAAGTGCATGGTCCTGAGTTCAATCCCCGGTACCTGAAGTTTTACAGACATTAGAATCCAAAAGTGCACTTGACAAAATACAAACATTCACCCTGGATATACTAAGTCCCAACTGTGTGTGTGTGTGTGTGTGAGAGAGAGAGAGAGAGAGAGAGAGAGAGAGAGAGAGAGACAGAGAGAGAGAGAGAGAGGAGGGGAAGAGAGGAGAGGGGAAGGGAAGGGAGGGGAGGGGAGAGACAGACAGAGAAAGAGTGAGACAGAGAGACATCGAGACACAGAGAATCCCACCAAACAGGAGTGTGTGTGTGTATGACAGAGAGAGAGAGAGAGAGAGAGAGAGAGAGAGAGAGAGAGACAAGACACACACACACACAGAGAATCTCACCAAACGAGTGAGAGAGAGAGAGAGAGAGAGAGAGAGAGAGAGAGAGAGAGAGAGAGAGAAATACAGCAGTCATTACGGGGCCCTCAGTAGGTTCACTGCTGCCCACCCTCATTGGAGAAGGCTGTCCACTTTGCTCAGTGCACCCATTCAAATGCTAATCTCTTCATTTCTTCTAGCGATAACTTTGCAAGCACATCCAGAAACCCAGGAAGAATGCTGAACCAGATACCTGAGCATCCTCTGAGAAGCTGACCCATAGGACGAATCGTCACAGTTACCTTGCAAGAGGAAGAGTCCCCAAGCTGTGTGCCCTGCTGGCTGGTGTCCTGGCTGCTGCAGTAGACATGTAGTTGTAAGTGCCTGAGAGGAGGCGCAGGAAGCCAGCCAGAGAGCCGGGATGGAGGCGCGCGTTTGCCTAGCGCTCTTACACGGCATCAGGAGCTGCCACGCGAAGTCAGAGAACACTGTAGGGAGCGGGAACCCGTAGGTTTCCACAATGATGTTGCACTGTTCTCACATGGCAAAGGAAGTGTCAGCACTGCTGTGTCACCTACCAAGTAGAGAACTGAGATTTCTATTTTTTCCTTTACAAATATTTTAAAATTTCAGGTTAAGGAAATAATCTACAAAAATAATGAGTGAAGACTGATGTATGTATGATTCATTTGGGGAAATAAAATGTTCCTAATATAATTCATGCTTCTCTCTTTACCCACACTCCTTTTCCTAAAGGCATGCTTACCCTGAACACAGTCACTATCGATAGCATGAGTTTCATTATACTTGCTGTCAACGTGTATTTCTCAAGAATAATCTCACTTTATATTATTCTAGATTTCCACTAACACAAGCATACTGTATATGTGCCTATACAGCACATCTCCTCTGCTGTTACATATGTGTGCTCCACTGATGTGAATGCATTAAGAACAAATTTGTTAATTTTTCCCACTATGTAATATTCCATTATATTTTTTCATTCTCTTCTGCAAGAAAATTTAGCGTGTTTTGGTTTTAGGACTTCCATCTACAGAAACGATATTTTTCTTCTCTTAAAATAACTGAATCAGGGGCTGGAGAGATGGCTCAGTGGTCTAAAGCACCTACTTAGAACAAGCTTGGCAAAGCATCAGGGACCGCGGTTCAATCCCCCAGCAC